TCTATCTATCTATCTATCTATCTATCTATCTATCTATCTATCTATCTATCTATCTGCCTTCTTAACCAACCAACCACCCATTCAAATCAAGAACCTGCATCTCCATTATGCTCTGCCAGTTTCCTTGTTTTATCAATCTACGATACCAATCCCATTATTCTATTAATTTATATTTCATTTGCCATTCAATCATTCCCTCTCTACCCACTCACATTCCATTCCCTCTCTTCAGCAATAAAAATTAAAACAGGATGTAGAGTAATTAAAGAGATAAGATAGTTGCATAAAGAAAAGAAAAAGTGAGAGAGAAAAAGAATACGATGACACAAGGGAAAAAATAAACAGACAATGGGGGGAAAAGAAGCTCTGTTTAAGCATTATGAGAGACTTAAATTGAACAAGCATCTCAAACACCGGCTAATTATTATAGTAATCTTTGAGATAATCCATCTCTTTCAGCAGCAAGTCCACAGTAATTTACACTAGCACTTCCCAGAATGCTCTGTATATTTTATACTAATGTCTATAGCAGAGGTCTCATTCTCGCGGCCCGCGGGCCAATTGCGGCCCGCAGTAAGATATCCTGTGGCCTCCACCGTGATATGAAAGTATAATATTAGTGTATAATATAAATATAAAGTATAATATAAAGTATAATATTATGCAGCCCAGCCTCACCCAGACTCTGCCTCCAGCGGCCCCCAGGTAAATTGTGTTTGAGACCCCTGGTCTATAGGCTTAAAGCCTGATTCTTTTTGACTGAAATTTCACTTATAGGATGCTTCTACAAGGGAAGGGCAATAGGTGATTCCCCCCCCCTCCTTCTGTTTCCCTGAAAGAAATTGGGAGTGGCAGGAGAAATCTGTATTATTTGTTAGTTTTGGGAACCGCGTGTGGCATTGTGGCAGTAAAAGTGTCTGCTAAGGAAAAAAGAACTTTAGTTAAATTAAAATACTTCATTTACAGAAGAACAAGTCTGGGTCTAAAGACCTTTTGTTGAAATATGTTTTGGTGCTAAATAAAGGTGAAGGCACAATAATAAAGATAATACAGTAATTGTAGACACTACCAAACCTTCCAGACAAATAACAGAAAACCTGAACTGGAGATCAGTCTTTGTAGTGAAAAGAAGCAAGCATAATTCAGTCTTAAAACTCAATTGCAATCTCATAATTCTTATTCAGTATTCCATTTAACTTTATATTTGATTTTTCACAGATGAAGAGGAATAAAGAGAAGTCAAGAATCCCCTAACTTAAGGAAGATACATTATCATTTAAATCAAGAGTGTACAACCCATGGCCCACAGGCTGCATATGGTTCTGGACAGCTAGAAAAGTAGCCCCACAAGATTGTAAACTTTTAACATTATTATGTGATGCATGTATATTAACTACATTATATATTTTATATGTGGCCCAAGACAATTCTTTTCTACTCAATGTAACCCAGGCAAGCCAAAAGGTTGAACACCAATGATTTAAATATTCTGTTTTTAAATGCAATCTAAACTAATAAGGAAATAGAAATATTTTAGTGAAAAAATTGAGTATGTTTTTTTCTGCAGAAATGAATATATGTACAACTATTACAAAGTGTTCTTTGATTATTAATACTTATTAGGAGAAAGAATGTATGTGCCGAATATCAGATGTACAGGATGAACTGAGGCATCGAGACCATCATATATCAGAATTGGATAAGGAAATACTTACTTTACATGAAAACATAAGTGCATTAACTAAGGAATTGGAGTTCAAAGGGAAGGAAATTTTACGAATACGTAGCGAATCTAATCAGCAAATTAGGTATGAGTATTTCTGATGACAGGTAACAAATTCTAATTAATTCAGTTCCTAAAGCTGATAAATAACCTTTTTTAAATTTTACATGGAATATTTTAGGTACTTAAATTCAAACTGCTGTTCTCATCAAAGTCTAATATCGATTAATGTAATAATGCATTTAGGCTGGGATTGCCTATCATATGGCATTGCACATTATTCTAGACATTAGCAACTGGAAAAAGCTATTTTGATCATTTAATCAGATTTTGTTTTGTTTTTATTATTAAAGCATTAAAGGAGATGAAAAAAATTATAAAGATAAGCTAGAGGTTGGAGAAATGGTAATAATTTTTCAATTATCAGTATCACTGTGCACAAAGCCTTTTCAAATACCAAGATTAATGAACCCAACTGACATAAGAATAACTGTTTTTAACATGAAATGAAACAGGCTACATGAACAAGATTTAAGCAAGAAACATGAGAAAGAGTTGGATGTCATGACAGCTGACAACATCAGAGAGAAACAAAGTATGCTGGCAGATTTTAATAAGACCCAAGAGCTGCTCAAGGAAATTAATTCAGCTTTGCAAGTTTCGTAAGTTTTACTACCTTGAACAATTTCATATACGGGCCAGGTTTGAATGGAATAATATATAACTATTATCTGTTTCCAATTGATACTGGAGAGGCATAGGCTTGTACATATAATTGAGAAGCTTAGTGTATCTGCTAACTTTGGCAACAAATTTCAACAAACATGCAGAATTGAACCCATGGGAAAAAGTAAGACATCCAATTCATACTTCCACTTAACCCTTGTAATATATTAAGCATTGGAGGATAATACAAATTAAAAGGACAACGGGCATTCTCATAAAATCAATCAGAGTTTAGGTCAGCTAGATGATGCAGTTCAAACCGTTTTACACACTCTTAGAAAATATTTGGAAACTTCAATTAGTTTCCAAAATGCAGCAGCCAACATGGTTTTGTACAAGCCTATATTTGCACATGTATCACTTCTCCTGCGGGAGCAGCATTGGCTGCTGATTTGCTTCTGGGTCCAATTCAAGGTGTTGGTTGTCACCTTCAAAAATCCTACATGGCTTGGGACCACATCTTTTCCCAGTCATATCTATTCAAGCCACTAGAATGGAGAAGCAGGAAATGCTATAGGTCCCCTCTCCTAAGGAGGTCCATCTAACAGGATCAAGGACCTTCTCCATGGTGGCTCCCTCCCTTTTCCCTGCAGAGATAAGATTGACCCTCACTTTTAGAGACTTTCACAAGGCCCTGAAGACATGGTTCTGCCAACTGGCCTGGGGACCCCAGAGTGATAGGAAGCCAATTAAGTGGCTTATCTGATTGTTTTCATGGGAGGTGGGGGGGAGTGGTATTGTTTTGATATTAAGATTTTATCCTTGTAAGCTGCCCGGAATCACAGAATGAGTTGGGCATTATATTTTTTTTAAATAAATAAATACCACCATCCTTTCATTAGGACTGAACATCAGACTAAATATGCTTGGTAAGCCTCTTATTTTATTTTTGTGCCTCTGGTTAAATTGATGCAATATTTTTAAAACTAATAACTCCCATATTACATAATGTTGTTTATATTAATGGTTTTAATTGTGTCTTCCCACAAACTTCTATGCCACCGTATGATCCTTATATTTCTGTTTCATGTTTCTCTTTGTAAAGTTAATTTCATTACACTGAAGCTATGTCTTCTAATTAGGTTTCCAGTTTACTTTCCCAATTATTAAGCACTGTCTTATCCTAAAATAGTCTACATTCTCATATCTTTTTGGATACTTTTATTATTGAAGAAAAATATGTCTTTGGGAAAAAATGCCAACTAAGGGCCTTTTAAAATTCTCAAGTGTTATAGTTACTGACTAATAATTATTGGATATCTTTACAGTGCAAGGACATAATAGATTGTAAACTCTTGCCCAGCTCTTATTCATCTGAGTCTGAAGCTTAGAGATTAATATACAAGCAAACTTAAATAGATGTTTGTTTAGGTATGCTTCTTTTAAAATGGTAAGATTCCATTTGTAATGAAATTTAAACTGACAAACTGCCTGAAATAATACTTTTTTCTATTTAAGTTTTTCTTCTTGTAATAAAGAAGCATAGAGCTTTCTGTAAGTCAGAATAGTCTAAACCAGCAGTCCCCAACCTTTCTAGTTCTGCAGACTGGTAGCAGCAGAGGTGAGGGGATGGTTTTCTGCGTGTGCCTGTTGCTTGTGCAAATGGAGTTTCGTGCATTCGCACACTTGCTTGCCGCTTGCACGTCCCAAGGTTTTGGGAACCTGGTCTAAACTGCCTCTTCAAGAGAGGATAGAAGATTTTGTTCAATATAATAATATTTATCATAAAATATAATGAAATCAAAATTAGTTTTACTACATAATAACCCAATGTTAAAGCAGTAACTTTGGAGAGGCATGACCACCAATAAAAGCTACAGATTTTAATTAAATATAAAAGTATTTCATAAAAGTTTTTAAACTTTCCAAATATAGTCTGTTTGTATTTAGGGAATAAAAGAGTTCCATTACTGTATGAGCCTGGCTGATAGAAAATATGCTAGGTAGTAGTGAACCTAAGATGTTCTAGGATTAAGCTTGAGGGAATTACGAATGCTGACAATCTTCAGAAAACCTGAATGAAGTTATGAAGGACTTTTAAAACCAAAGCAGAATTTCAAATTATGTATAATAAGAAAAAGGCAATTGGTATGTTTAATATATATTTAGCATAATACAATCTGAACATCTCTTGCATGTTCTGCATCAACTGGGATTCATAAATTGACACTAATTGAGCCAGGTACTGTATTATAAACCATCTTTCCATTGGGCCACAGAGCAAGTTGGCAAAAGGTCTTCTGCATCTATTAAGTCATTTGAGAGGGTAAAATTCAGCTTTCAGAATATATTCCCTATTCATTTATATGGCTGCCCATCTTTCAACGAACTCTGGGCAGTTATCAATTAAAAATTAAAAGACATAAAATCATTTTAAAACTATAAAACTCAGCCGATTAAAACATAAAAAGCAAAAACTTGATGCCAATCAGTTCTAATATGTGTCCCAACACTTGGGGGTGGGGGAGCCAGATCTTCATATATACCATATTTTTTGCACTATAAGACGCTCCAGACCATAAAATGCACCTAGCATTTGGGGAGGAAAACCGGGGGGTGGGGGAGGGAATCTGCCTCTGCTTCCCAGCAATTTGCCTCCTTGCAGCAAACAGCAAATAGCCTGGTCAGCTTCAGCACAGACTGATTTAGCAGGAGAAGCCGATTGGCAGTTGGATCAGCCTCCTCGAATACCACCAATCAGCTGTTCCAGCTGCAGGGATCACCACCACCCATCACCTGGAACAGGCCGAAAACAGGATGCACAGAGGCCGAAAACAGGGTGCGTGGAGGCTGAAAATGGGGCACGCGGCAGCGGCGATCCCTGCAGTTTGGAACAGCTGATCTGCGGTATTCCAGGAAGCCAATCCAACCGCCAATCAGCTGCTCATGCTAAATCAGGCTGTTTGCTGTAAGAAGGCAAATTGCTGGGAGGCAGAGGCTGAAGAGTGGGGGCTGGTAGGTGGGGCTTTGGCAACATTCACTCTATAAGAAGCACAGACACTTCCAGCCACTTTTTTGGGGGGGAAGTGTGTCTTATAGTGTGAAAAATACGGTATATGAAACCCCATCAGAAAACTGGTTTTTCAATTGCATCCAGATCAAGGCACCTAATAATCCATATGAATCCATCATATCAGCTTATAGCTTCAGTTTGTTCAATGTTTACTTGTAGTCTATTAAAATCCATATAAAAGTCCAAAACCAGATAGCAACCTGAAAGGTTAATTCAAAAGTTATTAACCTTTCTACAAATTCAAGGCTCTGTTTTTTTTGGCCTTTTCAGTATTTTTCTGTAAATTAATTTATTTCCACTCACTCCTTTAATGCTTCTTCACTGTCTTTTTAGAACTTTTTGCAATTTTCTTAATTTCTGTTTTCATTCTGTGGTGTTTTGAGTGCTTATACTAACTTGGTTTTTTTTTAGTTGTTAGCATATACTTTCTCACTCATTAGTTGATTTATTATAATTTTATTATTGAGGTTATGTTTTAACTGTAAATTATGACAGTATTTTCTTTAGCATAACCAATAAAAAGATGTTTATAGGTATGAATCTATATCTCTTTTTATATATAATAAATTTATTTATTGAATGAATCTGATAATATGGATTTACAGTATTATCTTTTAACTTTGACTCATTACTAATGCATTGGTGATACTTTTGTCTTCTATAAAGTTTAGAAGAAATGGAAGATAAATATCAAAACAGGGAACCAAGGCCAGAAGACCTGCAGCTTATTGCAGAGCTGAAAGACCTGATTGCTGAGAGGGATCAGCTGATAAAGAAGTTGATTGTAAGATAATTTGGTGGCCTTTGTTTTGAGCATGTGAGGTGCTAGTAATTTTTTGTCAAAAATTCCAAACACCTATTACATGTGAAAGACAACAGTCTAAATGAAAGTGACTTTTAGTTTTAATCTCAGTTATCTAAGCTGCAAACACAATTTCATATCTCTTTTTGTACTCTTAAACAGTTGTTCATAATTTAGTCTTTAAAATAATTTAATTCTATTTAATCTCTCTCTCTTCTGTTTAGAACAAATATGTACTGGAATGTTACCTATAAAATTGTATCTTTTGTACTATAAATCACAATGCTAGAGAAATTTTAAAACATTCGGGGTATCTTTTTCTTCTGCTTGGCATCTATATAAACAATATATATTTTAATATGTTTTCTAGTAAGTTTGTTCTGAATTTTGCTGATAAGAAATTTGCTAATATGAACCATTTGCTGCTTCCTGTATCATAATAGGGGAGAGCAAAAATTTGTCTTTGAACTCAATGCAAAGTGAGAATGTTAATGCTGCTATAGAGAAGGATTATAGGAATGCCACAAATGATAACATAAATGGAACAAATGTTGCCAATCTTAGTTCAGTTTCAACAGTTTCATATTTGAAGTGAAGATTTTTTTATTGTGAACAAAGTTTGGTCATACTAGCTAAATAATCAGAACTGAATATATTGAAAACAACATGAACATATTCTTTTCTTTATTAGGATGACAAAAAATTCTATCAACTGGAACTAGTCAATAGGGAGACTAACTTCAACAAAGTGTTTAATGCAAGTCCTAATGTTGGTGTTATTAATCCTCTAGTAAAGGTATGGAACATAATTATTACCTTAAAAGTTGAGAATGTTGGTTGGTAATATTACAAATAACTGAAGTCCATTAACAAACACTAGGCAACAACACAGGTTGGGAATAGGCAAGGTTTTCACAATATGGTCAAATTTTCTTAGTGAAAAATATAAGTTCCTATGTGATTTTATACAGAAGAACTATGGCTGTTAGGGGATTTTTGGATGTGTTTAATTTAGAGTAATAGGTTTTAAACAGGATATATAAGTGTGCTTGTATAGTATATTTATTTAACATAGGATATCTTTTTTTAAAAAAAAGCAACATTTCCTTAGAAACTCAAACCCTGGTGACTTCCTGCCATCCTTTAATTCTCTTAGCAATTACAGAGATTATTTCATGCTGCTATTTTTTTACTTCCTGACCTCCTCTATAGGCTGTTGATAAGCCATCCAAGTAACTGATTTATTTTGGGCTTGTTTACATTTGAGGTGGTTCCATCACTTACGTGGGTACTGTATTTTAGAATAGTTTTATATTTAATTTCTCAGAAACCATTTGTTCCTGACAATTTTCTCAAACTACATTGCTCCTTATACCCATGTTTGCAACTGCACTTTGATTGCTAACATCCTTTTCCAAAATCAAATTTTGATATTTATTTGGTTTAACATTTACTAACACTGTAGTTAATTAGACAGAAAAACTTAATAAAAAGATTGCTTCTCTTCCTTCTTCTGGAGCTTCTGTTATAAAAAGTCTCTTTGTTATGAAATTCTTGTTACATAGTAGCAATTCTGGATTCAGACTATTATCTTATTTGCAGTTATGTCTCTTAAGTCCTTTGCATATTAGCATTCCAGTACTGTGGAATGTATTTTCTTTAGTAAATTGTTATAAAAGAACCAAATGCCTCTCCCAGAAGAAAAAGCAATGGAATCCATGTTAGTCCAAAGGAAATAAACTCAAAATCCACAGTTGAAGAATACCATTATTGAATTGACTATGAAGTATGGAAATCATGTGCTATATTCTGTTTTGGTACATAAAGTAAATAATATTCAATGTTAGAAAATATGAATAATTATTGCTAAAATAATTCAAGATTTTGCTATATAATACATTTTCTAAAAAAAAATATTTGTGCCATCAAGTGAAATAATTATATTTTTATACTTCCTAATATGATGCTGAGTTAATAACAGACCACATTGCTTCCCTTTTTCTACAATTGTCATCTATTTTTAATTTACGTTTATAGAGGATTGCAACGATTGTTATTTCCAGTTGATGTTCTCATAGCACTGGCTGTAAGGCAGCAAGTGAACATCTCTTTAGAATCTCGTACTTGAATTAAGTGTATTCTGTCTTCCTGTAATGGAACTCTTTATCATTATTACATACATGTGATTAATTTTTATTACATGAGATATGAACACTAGTTTTGATTTGAAGTCTGTTTATTTTTTTCTATACTCAAATATAAACTTACTTCTTGACTTTTTAATTTTTTTGTCAGTTTTGGCACTGGAAATACCTTTACATCCTCTATGTAACTTAATTATATTTTTCAAACCATCTTTTCTAGACATTTGAACAATTCTTTTGATTCAAAAAGAGAAGGAAAACAAGCAGTTGAAACGGGTGTGTACCCAGTTTAAAATAATTAAATGGGTCTGCTCTTGAATTATTGTAGAATGAGTCTATTCCAATATACATTTCAAATGTAACAAAAAAAGGAAAAGTAAGTAAGTAGGAGTAGTGTAAGGATTGTAGCATTAAAACTGGATCCTCTGTGTTTATTATTCAAATGTAATCTCTGCTAGGTTTAATAAATATTTGTCTTCTGTTTTAGAAGTAAAGTTTGAGCAGAGAGGAGGGCTGATACAAAATGTGTTTGCAATCAGAAATACATGGCTGACTGTAGGGGGGGAAATCCTCTCTGCGTTATCCCTTACTCAATAGTATGTTTTCCCCTAACACCTCACTGAAAAAAATACAGTATTCATGTTCTTTTAACAGATTTTTTTTTGTCTTTTTATGCTAAGAGAGATGTATTTAAAGTAAAAAAATACAGGTTGATTGCAAATGATTACAAATGAAATAGTATCATTTACACTGCTACAATATTATGTAAATGAGGCAGGGTGATTGTACAGTGAAAGCAGTAGCCTGACAGAGTATAAAAGCCATCAGTCATATAATTGCAATCTGGTATTTTCTGCACTGTACTCCTATGTTTTGTTAATTAATAATCTTTTATTTCACAATAAAATACTATCAAACTAGAGAAGATAATAAAGCACTGTTGCAGTGTTTCAGATTTATTTTGTTTATTAGTAATTTGCTTTTAGTAGGTTTTTCTCACTCTGCTTCTAACAGGAAGATGGTTTGCTTAGTTAACTCCTTCTGTTGTCACTGTAATTCTGAGGGGAAAATATAATTACCAAATTCCTTTCATTGACATGGTTGGGGGGTTTTAATATAGCAGAATATTATTTTTTTATAAAACCATGAAAGAAAAGCAATAGATAAAGTGAGATTATGAATGACTTTAAAGAATTTAAAAATATTTGTGTCAACTTGAATCAACAGTAAACAGTTACCAGGATCTTCAAATTAAAATTAAAAGGCTATCTCCAGTGCAGGATCGTTTTGATTGTAAACAGGGAGCTGTGCCCTGGAGAATTGTATTGCTAACTAAAATAGTGTTATACGTTTAGTTTGTGAGAAATCTTTCAGGTAAAATTAAGTGTTGTTTTGCAAGGTGATATGGCTTCTGTGTAGAAGCAACCTAAAACTGAAAAAGTAAGAGATCTTCAGCTAAAACTATTTAATTGGGGAAAAATCATTCCATTTAAACTAAACCAAAATGAAGGAAATTGGACTGCATTATTATCTACTCAAAATAAGAATTCTTAAAACATTTTATAACAGACTTTAAAAAGAGGTAATATCAATTAGTGCCAAAAAATTACTTGTTATATAAAATTCTTAGTAGACTATAGAAATCAAATAAATAAATCATATTAATAAAAGATAACACTGAATTGTTTTCTGATATGGAAAAACTTTTAAACTGAGCTTAACGTCACAATCTCCATTATATTATTATAAACACTAAAAAAACAAAACCTGTTAAATAGTATAGATAAGTATTTAATTTCTGACTCCCCCCTTCTTGGTGCAGCAACTGAGGTACAGTATTTTAATATAAACTTTACAATCCATCCTGTGTTCGCATTACACTTTACTGTGGATACTATACCTGAAAGTATATATGAAGTTGTTTTGTTAAACATTCTTTGTTTAGTTAAAATCTATTATGTGTATAAATAGGCCCTACTTCTTTTAATAAGAATTAAATAGTTTTTCGCCAGAGTAATTGAGGTTGGGCCTCTTCCTTGCTTGACCCTAACCTTGATATAAACATTTACTGGCAACTTGACAGCTGGCTAAATCAGCTATTTTAAACATCTGTCCAAACTCATCATACCCATGTTAGGGATGGTGATTGGTTTTTATGTTCCAATTAACAGGTGATGTTTGATAAGAGAGAAAACAAAAATAGAGAAATTCAGTAATCCCTTGGGCCAATCCTTAACTTGACCCACAGTAATTAAGGAGATTTACAAGTCAGGCTACTATAACAAAATAGGAATTGTCCATGGATTCAATATTGTCTGCTGAAATATGTTTCTGTCAACTCAAATATATGTAGTGCTTTTATTTTACAATTTATTATCTATTTTTATTCAAATTATAATTTTAGTATTTAAAAAAATCTTAAATGCCATCTAGAGCAGCAGTCGCCAACCAGTGGGCCATGGCACACTGTTTCTGCGCAGCCTGGATTAATTGCTTTGTGGGGGTGCTGTGGGGGTGACATTTTTCTACGGCCCACCAAAATTTTCTCATGGCCAACCAGTGGGCCACGGCGCACTGGTTGGCCATGAGAA